CGCTTTTTCGTGGAAAGAAAAGAGGTAGCAGCGGCTAACCCTAGCCCGAGAGCACAGAAGAACGGGCCGGGGCGCCGCTCGTCACGCGCGCACATGGACGCAACGACGATAGCGGGACGCCTGCCGCGTTTGAGGAACACGCGGCGCAGAGTGGCAGCACGAGATTGGTCCTGTGACCTTGTGGGAGAGGGGACGAGAACGAGAGGCGCGTCTGCCGAGCCGTGGAACGTGGACTGCGGTGCGGGCAAGCGCATGGCGCCGGCGCGATTGGTGGGGTGCCCGCAGTCGGCGAGGACGGCCAAATGGGCAAGCAGCGCGGTTTGCCAGGCCGCCAAGGTAGCTGAAAAAAAAATACTACATTGGAGAGCCCGTTTTGCACCGATTCAAGCAAAATCTTCTTGGTTGGTGAAAGCTAACTGGCACTTGGCCTGGAAACACTAAGGCCTTGTTTGAAAAAACTCTCTCTACATACATTGAGTAAAAAAATAACTAATTTTGCAGTTTAGTTGGAAATCACGAGATTCAAGCAAAATCTTAGTTGGTCTTGATTGGACAATAAAATAAACGAAAGGCACTATTCATCGGGTTGAAATTATCTTCAATCTAAACAAGGCCTAAATGAAAATTTACCTGCATATATGGGTTTCAGAGTCTAACAGAGGCCTATCAGGCTATCACGATTTACGTCAATTTTCTCAAACCCCTTTCGCTTTTTCCGCACGAACATTGCACACTGGAGTATGTGAGATCACGGCAACTCGCAACGCTTCGCATATATTCATGGCGCATTCTGTCACATCCTCAAATCATTCAGAACAATTTTTTTCTTCCTAACTGAAATATTCCTGAAACATTTTGTTTTATTCAGATGGGCCATTTCTTTTTCCGGTAAGCGTTTTAGTGGGGCGTTGGGCCGACGTGACTCTCCGGGCGTTGGGCAGGCTTCCTGAAAGAGATGCATGGACCTGTGGGCCTGGATGGAAAAAGTCAACATTACCTCTTAACTTTTGCGAAAGTCCGATTTTCCTCCTCAAACTACAAAACCGGGCAAAAAAAACCTTCCTCCGCTTTTAAAACCATTCATCTTACCTCCCTGGCCTTGTTATAAGCGGTTTTGAAGGTGGTTTTGTCTTTTTTTTTTTATTTTTCGGCTAAATCTTTGAAAAAATATAGTAAATTACAGAAAAATCATAAAATAGAAAATCCAATTTTGTTGGACTCCACATGAGTAGATCTACATAGTGAACATATAATATGGTATACTTTAGTACAAAGTTTTTGTTGTGACTTTAGATCTATGCTTTTCTGTAATTAAATGGAATAATTCATAGCTGCAGTTTCTATGGTCCAATTATGGTAAAATTTTTTATGGTGTGCTAATTATTGTATGCTTGAACTTAAAAAATTCATACTCATTGATCATGTATAACTTAGTTGTAGATTTTATTTAGGTTTATGCTTGTTAAATATAAATAAATCTATAATTAAGCTATACATGATCAAATGAGTATGAAATTTTTACTACAGTTTAATCATACAATAATTAGCCCACCATAAATATTTCATCACAATTGGACCATAAAAACTGCAGCTCTGAATTATTCTAATTAATTACATAAAATCATAGATCTAAAGCCACAACAAAAACTTTGTATTAAAGCATACAATATTATATGTTCACTGTGTAGATCTACTCACGGAGTCCAATAAAATTGGATTTTCCATTTTAGGATTTACTATGATTTTTCAAAGATCCAGCCGAAATAAATAAAAAAGAAAAGACAAAACCGCGTTCAAAACTGCTTATAAGAGGGCCAATGAAGTAAGATGAACGGTTTTAAAAGTTGAGGGAGGTGTTTTGCCCAGTTTTGAAGTTCAAGGAGGAAAACAAACTTTCGCGAAAATGATGGAGATAATGTGGACTTTTTCCGGCCTGGATACAAAGTCGCTGCATAGTCTTAGCTTTAATTTGTATGGGCCATGTGGCTGGCCTGCAACGTGTATGGACCTTGTGGGCTTCATGAGAACGCATAGTTTCACGAAGCAGGATGCAAAGCCTCCATAGCCCATTTACTCATCTTGCTCCTGGAAGCCTCAAGTCCAAGATGCTGAAAGGCCCCAGCAAAAATAAGGCAGCCTATGTGGCTAGTGTGATTAGCAGCGGTCTCTTAATTTTGCCTAAACTATGCCGTGACACCTTTTTTTTCTTTCTAAACCCAGTCCAAATACAGCCCGACACTCACAACACGCATGTACACATCTACTTCAACGAACGCACACATGTACATCCTAACTCTATGAGTAACTCTGAGGGACTGAGTTGGACTAGTAGATCTCGAAGTTGGTGAAGTCACCAAAAATGCCTCGTTATTGATTGATATATTGCTTGTCACCGAAAGAATGACGCTATTAAATCCTGAAATAAATTCAGAAAATACGAACACCCAAACCAAGTCAAGATTTAAAATCCTGTTGGACAGGTCCCATCACCCTGAACGTAACCAACCAAACTTTTGCTCAGTTTGCACATATCATGACACTTACTGTTGAAACATACTCTTTTTCAGATCACAGATTCACAGTACAAGATCGCTGTCATCACTCCGAAGCCGGCGCTTCCCTAGTTCCACCGCGGCGGATGCTGCAGATGCACGGCGCTCAAGTACTTCTCGATTGCTCATGCTAGGGACAGACGCAGGTCTTGCAGGCCGTTGCAGGCTGATGCAGGTAACCCGTTCCAGTCCCTTAGGCTTTGCAGGCTGGGCTGCTTAGGCCCGCGTCACTTGAAATAGGAGCCCGCAGTGTCCACAAGGGCTATTTTTGCAAGCGGACCGAGCAGGCTGCTAGGTCGGCCCATAGTATAAGTAGATACTCACGTACACTCATCTCTGTAAACATACACGTATATCCTATTCCTAAGAGCACATTTGGAACTGCTAATTCAGTGATTAATTGACAGTGGTGGTAGACAAAGGCCACTGACCTTGGTTTCACCATGTAATGATAATCCTGATAAAAAGTGGAATGACGCGAATGCTCCGAAATAAATTGTTTGTTTTAGCTCTACCTTAATTCGTCCCGTAAGCATTAGGGGATGGCCGGAGAGTTATCCTGAGACATTGACCGATTGAAAAGTTTCCTCGGGCAAAAGTTAAAACTGCACCTACAATATATGCAACTTTTTTCCAACCTAATCTACTCGAAAGTGTTGTTAATTCCTGACGACGATGATGATTAGCCTATAATACATTACCTGTTGCTTCTCGCCGTAATTGTGCATCAAGCCAGCACTGAATTTTTTTTCCTGGCTTCCACCGGTAACACTGAAGTTTGGCCTGCCGAGGAAAGGGACTCACGGGGTGATTTGTAAATCAGAGCCATCGTTGATTTATTAATGTATTCATCAATCTGCATATCCTACACACATTGACACATATGTAATCATCCTCCCGCCGCGTAGAGCTGGGTCGGTTAGCCGACAGGTCTCGTCGCATCAATTCCCATTGTCCTACTCAGCCCGAATTGTTTAGTCACGGTGCTTATCGATTTCATCAGCTCCGTACGTTTGGTGGCGATCGATGCTGATCCGAAGGAGCGGAGAAGGGTGTAGCTCAAGCTCTTCATTGTCATATGCTCTGGGCTGTGGCGATGTTATCTGAAGCCACGCCACACCGCCGACTCGCCGACCCTACCACTCGAATTCCCATTGGAAACAAACCGTTCTGATCCATGATCCCTTTCATGAATCATGCAGAGAATATAGAATCGTATGGTTTTTTTTAGTCATTTCTGGGACCTTCAGGAAAGTGGCGATCGATTGATCCGAAGGAGCAGGAATGGTTTGCTCAAGCTCTTCATTGCTCATATGCTCTGGGCTAGGGCGATGTTATTTGTCGTTCATTAACACCGCCGAGTCGCCGACCCTACACCTGGAATGTAGCATGTACTGAAACAAACCGTTTGATCAATCATTGTTTAGCTTGAATTAGAATGGTTCGTTCTAGAAGTGGAGTACTATTTTTAGGATTTCTGGGACCTTCAGGAAAGACCTTGTGGATTGTGGCGGAGCAGGAATGGTTTGCCGGGTCATTACTTGCTCATTTTTGTCATGGAGCTAGGGCGCTTTATTTGTCGTTCATGAACCTTATCTTACAAATATAGTCAAATTTAAGTTATTCTGGCCTTTTTATTAATAAATCATTGTTTAGCTTCTAAAGAGAGAATTTTCATCGTTCTCCACAAGTGGAGTACTATAGTGTCAAAATTATGCGATCGCAAAAATTTGTCTTGGATTAAGTACTGTACATGCGCCTACCAAATTCCGATCCTGCCGTCCATCTCGTCCATAGCATGCCGGGTGAGAGAAACCATGGGCCTCCTCTCCTCTCCACTCTCGGTAGGCAATAGGCAAATATAGATCAACGATCTGGTCCAAATAAATATCTTTTCTGTGGCACTGTGCATCACACGAACATGAGCGGCCGATGTTCAGCGTGTGGTCAGATTCTTCAGGCGTGAGAAAGGGATGTGTTTTTCACAACAGCTATCGAGATAGGCAATACAGCGATCTTCTGACCTGGCAGATTCGAGAAAATATATGTAGTGTCCACATCAGGTAGTGAGAGATCGAAATCGACCTGCACCGTTGGAAAAACAAGAATTAATACAAATCGTGGTGCAGACATCTTTATTTCTACTAGCCAAATAATGCAGAACTATCCATGCATATCCGCGCCCTTAACATCTCCCTGGATTTAATGCAGCGGTAATCTCAAATTATTTGATGTAGAGAGACGTGATGCGCATAATAGTACTAAGATACTACTTACACCCAGTCTGCAGCTCATATAAATCTGGAGCGAAATTCACGTGTTCATCTGAAATTCAGATCGCGCGCGGGCACCGCACCTTGCCACGACGCTATTCCTTCACACGCACATGTGTGATGTGTGCAGTGCTGGTGGTCAATGGTCAGTAGATGAACAGATGAGGGAGCGCCGATGTCAGCATTACCGACGCGGATGTTCGTAGGAGTACTTGGTACGCTCCTGCATCCTGCATCCACCGAGGCGCCGGGCGGATATGCCGGCGGGTCCGGGATGCGGAGCATATCCAGTTTTATCCAGGCTTGTGAGCGCAAGCCACGGACGGAAACTTCCGGGACTCGTGAATTCCTGCCGTCCTGCGGCAGCAACTCTAGCAAGGCAGCAACCAAACCACCAAGCAGCGCCACCACGCCGGTGACCGCAGCGCGGCGGCCCATCGAGTTGGTGAGGACAGCGCGGAGGCGGGGACCCGTCGTGGAACCATTGGAGCCCCCAGGCCCCAGGCAAAGGGGATTAGGGGAACGAGGCTGCGAGAGGGAGTTGCTGGATCGCCTGACGTGGATCCGTGCTGTTCCCGTGTCCCAGCCAACAGCCAGGCCCCACTTGCGCGTCCCCAATCGCCTCATCCGCCGCATATCCCTGGGGCCCACAGGAGATCAGCTACCACTGCCCGTTCGCCACGTCCCCACGCTCCCGGTATATATATGAGCTCCTTCCCCAGCCACGGTCGACCGAGTCGGACGGAGAGCACGGTTGTTTGCGCACTAAATCGCAGCAGCACAAACACACACTATGGTGATGGAGGAGACGATAGACGGTGAGATGAGCTTGTCGAACATGGTGCTGGGCTTCCTGGAAGATTTCGAGAGGGACCAGCGACGGCCGGAGAACGACGACGACGACGACGACGAGGGCTCCAGCGGTGGCGACACCGCCGAGAGCAAGGCCTTCTGGCAGACCCAACATTCCCAGCTGCACGTAAGTCCTCCATCCATTCGATAACCAGTTCTGTTTCGATTGCGTGTTCTGGTCCTGAGCGATGCAAATATGCGTGGATGTGGATGATACAGGAGGCTCTGGCCAAGACGAGCCTGGCGGAGAGCAGGATCCGCGCGGACACGGAGGAGGCCGTCAAGAGCATGCGCGCCGCGGCCTGCTCCTGCTCCTGCTCCCGCACGGGGCGACCCGCCGCCCGGGACTGCCGGCTGTGCATGCTCCGCCACGTCGCCGACCGGCTGCGCGACGCCGGCTACAACAGCGCGCTCTGCAAGTCCAAGTGGACGAGCTCGCCGGACATCCCTTCAGGTAAACTGCTTACGTCGCGTCGCGTCGTGATTAACCTCTCTTCATTCTACTGTAAACGCAACAGAGAGGAATAGGAGTATCTGTATTACGGGACCTTTTAGCCAAGAGAAGATTCTTGTATGTACAAAGCAAAAGGCTTTTTCGCGTACATACATGATACATGCTGCAACTGGCTGATTTGTTTAGCTCCTTGTCAAATAGGAGTATCTGTTTTTTGGGCGAGTAGAATTATAGAAGCTAGCATGCTGCCAGTAGTGCCTACCTGCTATCCTGTATAAACTCACATGGTTCACATGGACCTGGTCATCCTCCGATGACAAACGCTTCCCAGCTGATACTCCCACAGTCCTAGTACTAACAAACAGCCAGGCAAATGTCAGGGACGCGTCTCTTTCTCTCACGGTTCAGCTTAGCGGGCACCACTTGCAGAGTCCACATCCACCCTCTCTGACGCAGCGAATTGCAACACGTTAGCGCCGAACATCCCAAAAATCTGAACCAGATATTCGGTGCCGAACAAGTTGGTTCGTTCGTTCTGCTTCACGAGTTGGCCAGTCCCTTACATGCTGACGTGTTTCCCGATCCACTAAACCTTTTCAGGCGAGCACAGCTACGTGGAGGTGGTGGTGCAGACGAGGAGCGGCAAGGCGGTGCGCGTGGTGGTGGAGCTCAGCTTCCGCGCCGAGTTCGAGGTGGCGCGCGCCAGCGCCGGGTACCGCGCGCTGGTGACCGCGCTGCCGGAGGCGTTCGTGGGCCGGGCCGACCGGCTGCGCGGCGTCGTCAAGGTCATGTGCGCCGCGGCCAAGCAGTGCATGAAGGAGAACAACATGCACATGGGGCCCTGGAGGAAGCACAAGTACATGCAGGCCAAGTGGCTCGGCACGCCCGAGCGGACGACGGCGGCCGTGGCGGCTGCGGCGGCTACGCCGGTGGTGGTGGTTCCGTCGGTGACCGTCGGCTCGCCAGAGCAGCAGACCAAGTTCAGGGCGTCCATGCTCACCTTCGACTTTGGCCAGACCGCGGTGGAGGCCGCGTGATGGACGCATGACGTGTTTGGCAGACCGCTAGGGGAGTATATATATATATACTGCCGAGCCGCATTAGTAGTTCCACTATACTTCTATATAGAGTGTCAATATACGGGAAGAAAAAAAGGTTTCTATAGAGTGCATCACAGATGGGTTTTAGGTTTTTGTCAGGATTCAGAAAGGCGAGCTGCAAGCTCAAAGCTCATGAATTTTGTTTGGAACTGAAGAATGCCCCTATTGTATTGTAAGGAACGCAACTGAGCCTCACTTGCGCTGGGCTGACAGACCTTAGCCAACTGGACGCCAAAGATCTGAAGTCCTGAAGCGGTGATTTGTCAACCAATGCGCTCAGAATAATAAACATCCACTTGTTAAATTAAATTAAATATTATTATGAAGTCACAGTTGACGATAAAATTACGTCAGATGTACAAGACTGAACAGTGTGCGACAGCACCAACCATGTAACTCTGTTACTAGTCAAAATACACATGACAAACCATGTAACTATAGACAGGAAATCATTGACAAACCATGAAGCTGGATTTTGAAAAAGCTTTTGATAAAATAGAACATAAGGTGATCTTGGAAGTAATGGCTCATAAAGGTTTTGGTACAACATGGAGATCATGGATTTAATCCATCCTCAACTCTGGTACATCTGTTGTATTATTAAATGGAGTCATAGGCAAAACTTTTCACTGCAAGAGAGGTGTAAGGCAAGGGGACCCTCTGTCTCCACTACTTTTTGTTTTAGCAGTTGATTTGCTCCAATCCATCATCAACAAGGCAACTCAGCTTGGGCACTTAAGACTACCAATTCCAGCCCCAACATTGGATTTCCCCATCATCCAATATGCAGATGATACCCTAATTGTCATGGAAGCTTTTGCTACTCAGCTATTTTTCTGAAAGGTATTCTACAATCCTTTAGTGACTCAACAGGCCTGAAGATCAATTTCTCCAAGTCAATGATGGTGTCCATAAACTTGAGCAATGAAAAACTGAACCATCTTGCTATAACCTTTGGATGTGCAACTGGTTCCTTTCCTTTCACCTACCTTGGTCTGCCCATGGGCCTTAGTAGACCAAAAGTAGATGATTTTCTCCCATTAATCAACAAATATGAGAGAAGGCTGAATTATGTATCACCTTTTCTCAGTCAGGCTGGCAGGCTTGAAATCACAAACTCAGTCTTAACAGCTCTCCTAACTTTCACAATGTGCTCTATTGCTTTGCAAAAAACTGTGATTAAACAGATTGACAAGTACATGAAAAACTGTCTTTGGAGAGGTGCAGAAGAGAATGCAAGGAAAATGACGAAGGTTGCATAGCCCATGGTATGTATATCAAAATGTGAAGGTGGTCTAGGTGTTTTGAACATTCAAACTCAGAATGAAGCCTTCCTACTCAAGCACCTGGATAAATTTTTCAACAAAAGAGAGATGCCATGGGTAAAGCTTATTTTGGATAAGCATTATAGAAATGACAAATTGCCAAACTCCACAACCCCTAGAGGATCCTTCTAGTGGCGTGATATTTTGAAGCTACTGGAAAAGTTCAAAGGTATGGCAAGTGTGCTGGTTGCTAATGGCAAAACCTGCCTTTTCTGGGATGATGTTTGGAACAGCCAAGTAAGAAGGATTCAGTACCCTGAACTCCATTCATTTGCGAAAAACAAAAGGATCAGTCTAAGCACTGTATGTGAAGCTCAGGCTCTCCATGACTTATTCCACTTGCCACTATCAGTAGAAGCATACCATCAGATGCAGGAGCTTCAGGCTGAACTCTCAAGTCTAGTGATTGAGACAGAGGATGACAGATGGACATTTATTTGGGGTTCCTCTTAGTTCTCTTCCTCTAAAGCCTATAAAGTGCTAACAGGTCATTCACAAGTTGACCCTATCTACAATGGCTCTGGAAGACTTCATGCCAGGCTGAGTACAAGAAACATGCTGAGAAGGACGCATCTGGATGATTATCATTATGCGCACTGTCAGGAACCTCCTGAAGAAACAATAATGCACCTTCTCTTTTATTGTCCATTTGCTAAAGACTGCTGGGGGTGTCTAGGATTTTCAGTATGCTGATCAACTCACAATACCCCAGATCTTTCAAGAATGGAAAACTCTACAAAATGTTAGCTTCGCGCTTGACATTTTCATCTTGATTTGCTGGACCATATGGTCGATGAGAAATGATGTTATCTTTCGAAACAAAAACCCCTCAGTAGAAGACTGCAAAAGGGTGGTCACGGTGGAATCCCTCCTCTTATTGCACAGAACAAAGGCTAGAATCACCCCCTGCTTAAATCATGGATAAACTCCAACTTGTAATATTTTGGATTTTTTTCTTCTCCTTCTCTGTACCCTGAGTTCCAGAGAGAGAGAGAGAGCGAGAAAGAGTGGGAGTTTGTAGTTTACTCTGTCTTTTTTCTTATAATTCTGTCACTCTGTTCTGTTTTGTTTAATAAATTACAGTAGGAGCCTCTGGCTCCTCCTGATTCCTCAAAAAAAAAAAGACAGGAAATAACTGAAATTACATGTTGTTGCCTCTCCGATTAGCACGGTCTGGAAGGGAGAAGATACTGAATGATGTTTCAAAAATAAAGATACTGAATGATGAACAGGATGGCTATGTTTGAGCTTTTGGACCCAGTGAGCAAGCCAGTTCTTGTGATCATGAGTCTCACGGCAGATCGAGCTTGGCATATTGTCGAGTGTCCGATCTCTGTCAAGAGCAGTCTTAAACTTCTCCAGTATCTGAACTATTTGACAGAAGTCAGGCCTCTTCTCCGGATGCGAGGCCCAACATTGCTCAATTAGAAGTCGCACTGGTGCTGGGCAGCTAGTAGGAATTGCCGGCCTCACATTCTGAAAATTAGAAAAGTATGCTCATCATTTGGATTTTCCAAAAGTATGAAGAGTCATGAGACAAAATGCTTTTTTTTTTTAAGTGTATGAAACAAAAGTTCTTTTGAAACTTCACCATACAGTGTTGCTATTTAAAATGTCTCAACATATTGTTTCTTTAGCAACAATCTCTTAATTTTGATCAAGTCAGTGAATATATATTACCATCCACATGCAGGGAAGGAAATGGGCATCAGGTTATTACCTTGTCAAAAACAGCAAAAGCTGCTTGAAATGGATTCAGCTCTTCATATGGTATCGTTCCAGAAAACATTTCCCACAAGATAAGGCCAAAGCTGTAGACATCGACTTTTCGACCGTATGCCTTATTATGTTTCATCATCTCTGGAGCCATCCATCTGAATGTCCCAGTGTCATTTGCCAGAGGGTCACAGTGCTCTTCTTCACAAGTTATTCCAAAATCAACAATCTTTGCAGAAAATTCTTCGTCGAATATGATGTTATCTGGCTTTACATCACGATGGACAACTCCCTGCGAGTGAATGTATGCCATGCCACGTGCGATATCCAAGCTAATTGAGATGATCTTGTCCAGGGGAAGAGCTTTGTGATCCAGCTTGTCCAAAAACGCTCCCAGAGAACCACCAGAAAGGAATTCAGTGATGACACAGAATGCTGGTGGACTGCTGCATGCTCCAACCAGCTACATAGAAAAAATGTAGATGGAGTGAGGAGACTCATAAAAGCAAGGTCATAATCTGTAACTATATACTCCGTGTCATGATAAAGGATGGGCTTTCATATCCTGAATTTCAGTATGCTTGCACTCAATTGAGGGTGAAGTCGTTAGTTACCTTGATGACATTAGGATGATTGAGGCGTGACAGAGTGGTGACCTCCGTGTTGAACTGCTTCTCAAGCTGAGCAGCCAGCTCTGCATCTTCCTCGTCATCAGGCTGTCTGATGAACTTGACAGCAACAGGCTGCTCTTTGTAGATTCCGTGGAACAACCGGCTGTGAGCCCCGGACGCAAATCTGTGCCCAATGAGCAGCTGGGAGCGATCGACGGACCATTTCCCGAGTACCTCCTTCACCCTCCCGTTGGCATGGCCTTCCTTCCTATGCTTCAGCTTGCCCGGTGCCCTCACCGGCGCCGGCGGACTCCGCCAATCTTCTGGCCGGTCAGCGCCAAGTCGTACGCCTGCACGAGCGCGGCCCAGAACTGGAGCGACGAGCGAGCGCACGATTGCGACTCCGAAAGCGGCGTCCAGGTACCGGGTATGTATGTTTTCTTTTCTTTTCTTTCTTACTAGTAGACATGCACGTGCGACATGCATATGTTTCTAATATGATATTTTTGTATCTATATATAAATGTATGATGGAAGTTGTTCCTATAACACCACGGTACCAAAGCATTATTATATATGTATAAACAAAAAGTTTTTATAGAGGACAATTCCTACATAAGTTTTGAAGTCAATTTCTATACCATATAAAAAATATCATTATACTCAGTGTTTACAACCCACATGGCCTGGCGACAGTCTTTACAACCCAAACTCAATCCTTTTGACAGTTTGATTTTGTTCATTCCATATACCGATATCCAAGCTTTGGTAAGAAACAAGATTGTCTGGGTTGCATATGCCTTCCGTCCCTCTATTGTATTAATCTGTTTGCAAGAATGGCAGATAGGCATCAATGAATCATGGTAGTCTATTCCATTCTTACACATTTTTTTAACATTAAGTTGTTTTTTTACAGAAGAGACAATAAAGAATAATATATCGAGACATCAATCTAAGAACCACTTATGCCTAAGAAGATATTCATTGCCACCATACGCCTATGGCCTTCTCCTTGGTTGTCATTGTCGGTCGATTTTCTCCTTTGGTTGAGAATGTATGACATGAGCTGCATTAGTGCCCGGGGTGCTTCCAGGAGACCAGGGCTAAAAATTAGCAACTAATAATTCAACCAAAGCGCAAGCAGATCATTTTAAAAAATGTGCGTTGATTAGAATAAAAGATGGAGCAGGAAAATGTGACAAGAGATATTCAAATACTAAAGCCACTGCACTACAAATCAACTTAATCGACCATCAGAGTCAAAATAATGAGGATAAAAATTTAAGGTTGCTTCAGATAGTGCAATTAAGCAAGATAGCAGGAGATAATGTCTTATTGAAACATCTCATTTGATTAATACTTCGAGTGTTTTTTTTTCACTGCAGAGTTTAGTTTTTTTTAATCTTCTCTGTAGATCTTACTAAAGTAATAGGATGATTACCGTTCTAATCAGAAACACAACTTTTTTCAACAGAAGTGTTGTTTAGACAACTAAAAACTGCAACAAGATTTAATATTGTAGTCAGTCTCAGGAATTTTATGAGTTCATATGGGCACACATAACGATTAATGCATCATCTTGAAACCAAAATGAAATAGATAACAGGTTTATGTTTATTCCGGTTCCAGAGCTCCAATTAAATAGGAAAAACACAGTAACCAATAAACATGAAAAATAGTTAATCTTACCTTGGCAAAACAAAATACCTTTTTTTGTTCCTGCAGTAAGCTCGTAGCTCCAGTTCCATCTAGTCATAATGCATTAATGCAAAAGTTTATGAGAGTTTCCACCAGACAGCCGCGTCAAAACTAGGTGCTCTCTGAAATCCCCCCACAACCGCAATCTCCTTTGTGAGAAACCAAAACAATTAGATAGTGCCAGGCTTTCTAAATAAAAATCGAAGCATCAAGCAACAAACTTCAGCAAGCAAATAGTGACAGATAAATTTTGATAGCGCACAACCACCAGGGTATTCAAAACAGAATAATGCATAACATGTCGGGTGAGCGTAGATTATTGTGATTACAAGATTAGTGCGCATAGCAGGGTTGTTAAAAAAACTGAGAACAGGACAATGGAACATCTTGGTGTCCACTTACACTGATTCAACGTTGTTTTAGAAGCTCTGTCTGCATGCCAGACTCCCACAGCGTTGTCTCCTACGAAACTGACTCTAGCGCTCATATTTGCAACCAATGCAAATCCTCTCCCAGTCTCAGAGCGACCTCCAACCTTCAGTAATGTTCACATGTGCTGACAAAAAGGGATCAATTGCGACACTAGTATCAGTAAGGATCTATTGAGACTCTAGTATCGATGAAGTCGCAATGATCGACCGGCAAGCAGAAAGAGTGTTGGTGGTTGTTAAAGTTAAAAAAAAAATAGCTTACAACTAACAGATGGGTTTATATTTCCAGTAGGAGGAAGCAGCAGCTGTCAAGTAGTAACAAAAAAACCATGAGACGACACGTCGGTAATTTTGGAAGATGGTTCATAAAGATTGATTGAAGCATACGTAGCAAACAAGCTTTAATATGTGAAGAATCCCTTTCTCTCTGTCATCAGAAGTTGAAGTGGAACAGCGATGCCTATTCCTCTGTAAGGCAACTTTACCTAGAAGAAAAAAAAAGGATCACTTCAATTCAGCAGGGCAGTACTCATTTTCTTTTGAAGAAAATTCAGTAGGGGAGACCACATATAGATGAAGGAAATACATTAGAGGACACCACGCCAAGTCAGATCGTGTATTACAGAAACCAATGAAGGAACCACATACAAATAAATAAAGCTTCACAGGTATATCAAAACCAGTTAACAAAATCAAGCCGCGCAGCATGTTTCAAATTATTAAACTGTAACAATTGTCAAAAAAGAAACATTAAGGCATACAAACTCCAGAACCTGTCAAAAAAAAAAGCTTTCTACCTAGGACCCTTCAACAGAATTTTGATTGCATATTTACCCGAGTGGAATTACATGAAGCTATTTGGATCTATAGACACTCAAAAGTCAAGGCCAAATCAAGTTTGAGGCAGAACAAATACCACAAGCGGCTTACAGTATCATGGCAATTCCTAAAGAGACATTGAGCAGACTGTAAAGAAAAATATAGGAACTCAAAGGACTTGAGATTGCTATACCTTGTCCAACTGGTTGAGAAGCTTCATGGTTACTTAGGAGATGATGCACGACTGTTGTATCATGACAATCTTCTTGAAACAAGACTTTATTATTAACGCACGAATCACCCTGTGGGCTAAGAGAATCTGATTCTTTAGATGGAATAGAAGACCATAAATTGGGACAATAGTCATGATCATATAGCGCATCACAATTTTGCAGAGCAGTATTAGCTTTGTACAGTGAGAAATTTTCCAAAGTCCAATATCTGTACTGTTTTGTTTTACCTACGACTTCAGCCTGCGAAGTCAAAATGAATTTTTCAAGCGTAGAAGACACTCGCCTAATGAGCACTTTCGGATTGCACTTGCCCCCCAGACGTCTGCAAAGCTGATTGGAATGAGAACATGGATTGCTAATTTCAAGAAATAAAGAAAACTAACAGCATGAGATTAGCAACAGTATACTGACCATGAACATCATGAATGCCTGGACTGCCGATGGCGACGACGACGGCAGCCGCGAGGAGAGAGGCGAGGGCCTAGAGAAGGTGGTCATGGCCGACGCTGAGCCGCGTCGGGGTCGGGTGGGTTCGAGGGGACGGGGGTGGATTGCCGATCTGGATGAAAGAGGGGGTGCGGGGGGTGGGGATGGGGATGGGGATGGGATTAGCGATTTGCATCTGTGCCAATGGATCAAAGAAGGGAGTTGCCGGTCTTGCGCGACGTGTGCCGACGTGCCGTGACGAGGACCCGCGCGTCACGCTCCTCCAGCGGGCGGCGGGCAGGCGCTGGTGCGAAGGGGAAGGCCATGAGGCCTGAGCCCCTGCCCTCAGCAGCGGCGGCGCAAGGTGGGCAGACGAAGGCGCGGAAGATGGCTTGTCGATCTAGTAGGCAAGGATCTAGTAGGCAAGGAAAGAGAGAGAGCAGCAGGATTGGAAAGGGCGTCACAGATTCACAGGCAAGGAAAGAGGCAGATCGGAGGACGCGAAAATCTCGAGCAGGTACAGGAGGCCGGGTACTTTGGTCGGGTGAAAAAGGTTTGCGAGCGGAGGGAGGCTTCGGCTGATTTGAATGGCAGGATTAAAGATGGCAGCGGATCGGCTGATTTGAATGGCAGGAATAAAGATGGCAGCGGATCGGGGCGGATATCCGCGGTTTCGGTTCTTCGAATTTCGGTGTTGGTGTCTTCGAATTTCGGTTTTGGTGTCTGTTGCCCCCCCCCCCGAAAGATGCAGCACACTAAAAGCCCAACAACCAACTCTAAGTATATAGGTCTGATTGCCTGAAACCCTCACTCCCTTAGCCTCAGCCCTCGACCCCATCCGCACGGCCGCACCCAAGCGGCAGGCGCGCGGCTCCACGCAGTGTGGCTAGTCCGCGACGTCACCGACATCGCCAGCCTCGCCTCCGCAACCTCGCCCCATCGCCAGTCCGTGATGTCGCCGACCTCCCCACCTCGCCAGTGAATCCAGCAGTCCAGCAGGTATGACAGCACATCCCTTCCCTATATATCGAAGCTGTTGTATCAATGTGTGCCATTTTCTCAATCTTCTCATGTGGCCATGTATGTTTTTGCCTTTTTCATTTGACAGGAAGTGAGCAATGTCAACTCCTGATGCTACAAGTGGATCTCAAGCTGTTGTTGTATCTCAATCTGTGGGTTCTCGTCCTCAAACTCGTCCTCGTCTTGCATCCGGTTCAGCGACACCGCCATCCGGTTCAGAAGCACCGGCAATTGATTCTACAACTATAGGTAATTATGATGTGGTAGAGGTATAAGATGATGTCCCTGTTGGTTGTAAGAGGAAGCTAAGATATGAAGTATGGAAAGACTTTCATTTGATTAATGTAAGTGGGGTTTGAAAAGCAAAATGTAAATGGTGTAAAAAACATTTAGGTGGGGAGACAAGAAATGGTACAACTCACTTGAAGAATCACATTGTTGTATGTTCGGACAGAGCTAGTAGAAAAGGTTTAACACAGTATACTCTTAAATTATCTGTAAACCCAAAAAATGGCAGTGTCACATTAGAGAAGTATGTGTTTGATCAAGATGTCGCTAGGAAAGAACTTGCTTTAATGATTATTGTCCATAAGTATCCTTTTTCCATGGTGGACCATGTTGGATTTTCGTAAGTTTTGTGCTGCATTGCAGCCAGCATTCAAGTTAGTGTCTAGAAACACAATTAGGAAGGATATCGTCGATATGTATCAAGTGCAAAAGCAATTAATGGTGAATTATATCAAAAAATTGAGTTCTCGTGTTGCTGTTACTATGGACTTGTGGACAACAAACCACCACAGAGGAAAGATTACATGGCAGTTACAGCCCATTTTCTTGATGAAGATTGGAAGCTAAAAAGTTTTCTTATTAGGTAACAATAAATCACATCATTTTGTGTTCTTGTGTTATGCATTTTGTCTATTGACTATTGAGAGCAATCTGACCAGCACAATCACGTATCATATTTTATTGTTGTAGGTTCATTTATGTTCCAGCACCACATACAACAGAGGTTATAGCAGAGGTTCTTCATGAAGTTATCCTAGATTGGCATATTGAGAGGAATCTGTCCACTATATCTCTTGAGAACTTCAATGTCAATGATAACATGATGAAGACTATGATTGGCACCGATGGTGATGACCTTGCAAAGAACAAGGCTGCTATAGAAGGCAAGTTACCACTCCGCTCTTGTATGTTGAAGGGCAAATTAATTCATATGCGTTGTGATGCACATATTTTAAATTTAATTGTGAAAGATGGAATGAGTGTCATGGAGAAGGGAATTGATAAAGTGCGTGATAGTGTTGCATACGGGTCTGCCACTCATAAAAGACATGAGAAGTTTGAGAAAATGGCAGCACAAATGAAAGGAAAATATGAAAAAAGAATTGCTCTTGATTGTAAAACTAGATGGAACTCTACTTATACTATGCTTAGCACTGCACTAGTTTACCAAGATGTTTTTGAGCGCCTTGCTTCTCGTGCTCCATGTGTTTCATCCACAGAAGATTGAAAGTTTGCTAAAGAGCTTTGTGATAGGTTGAAGATGTTCTATGATGTAACTGAGCTACTATCAGGCACTAAATATGTCACAGCCAACCTTTTCTTTCCTAAAATATGCAATATTTTTTTAGCAATTAGGAAGTGGCTAAGCAGTGATATTCCTAAGATAGAAGAAATGTCTATTGAAATGAAAGAGAAATTCAACAAGTATTGATCAGATGTGCATGATTTGATGGCTGTTGCTGCTGTCCTGGATCCTAGGTATAAATTATATCTGTTGAGTGCTCTTTTTCTCAAAATTCATGGGTTAGAAAGTGTAGCTATGGAATCTGTCAGCAAAGTGAAAGACTTGTTGTACAATCTGATTTTAAAATATCAAGATACTATTGAGGATGTTGCCACAACAGATGGTGCTAAAACTAGACCAAGAGGTCCTACTCAGATGGACGATGAAGATTAGATGGACACTTTTGATGATTACATGTCCAAACAGCCAGCTGTGACCTCCACTTATGTGCGAACATAGTTGGATTTGTACTTTGAAGAGCCACTGCTGCCTAGGACACAAGATTTGGATATCATTCAGTGGTGGCAAGTTGCAGGGCTCAAATACCCAACATTATGAAAAATTGCACGTGATGTCCTTGCTATTCCTATGACAACGGTGGCATCCGAGTCAGCCTTTAGCACTAGTGGGAGAATAATCAATCCACATCGTAGTAGGCTTGCACCATCAATGATTGAGGCACTTATGTGTATGCAAGCATGGTCTCATAACGACATGTTATGTAAGTGCAATTTCTGTAAGCAGAGGTTCTTCATTCTGTATAAGTTGTAAAACTAATTTGTGAATACTATATCCATACAGGGCCTCATTCAACTTTTGTTGGAGTTTTGATGACTTGTCTTGATGAAAAAGATGAAGAAATGGTATTGTTGTTGTTTCCTTCTATATTTAACTTGTGAATTTATAATGCGTTGAACATTCAAGTGATGAGCTACTCTCTCTATTTTTATTTCACAGGATGAAGATGAGTCCACCATAATTGATGAATGATGAACTTTGTAATAATCTGGACAGTGTGTGCCTCCAGCGAAGATGAATGCCTCAAGTTGCCTATCTATTTGATCAAAAAAACTCTTATTTGTATTAATTTTCAACTTATGTTATTTGTTTGGACTGTAATATGTGATCTGTACTATACTTGGGTTGTTTCTCAGTAGTCAGTACATGGCATAGCCAATTTGCCATAGACTTGCATGTTTGATGTTTCTAGACAATGGACATGGCTATCGGCTACCTACAACCTGCTAGGCTGCTACTCTTATGTTCTGCACATTGCCTGCTACTTGCTAGTACTTTCATAGTGCATCAGCAAGCTATTCTGCTAATATATCATGTATTGTATTACTGTCTCTGCTGATTTATTGTAATATTCTCGGGTTTCGGTTAATCCGTTGGGTTTTGGGGGATCCGCGGGTTTCGGTTTTGGGAATGGATTTTCATCCGAATCGGGGTTCGGGGCGGGTTCGGGTTTTAATTTTGGGTTTTGATTTTGGGTGCCCAGAGACTCCACCCGATCCGAACCTGCCCCGTTGCCATCCTTAGGCAGGAACGCGTAAGATGTCTTACAGATTCCGTAAGACGGAAGATGGCCCACAATTTGATTAAGGTATACATCGTCAGATTTAAAGATACTTAGCCATCCAAGGTTCTAGATATAGAGTGGGTAGGAAATTTTTAGGTCACAGCTATTTTATAATCCCTTAACTCTTTTAGTAAAATAAATAAATAATAGATATATATAAGCAACTTTTGTTTTTGATTCTGATTCCGACTATATGTTTTTCTTTTTTCTCTCTGACTCCGAGTTAAGTATGATTTTTTATTCTTCTTTATCTTTTTATTAATCTTTCTTTTATTTCCTTTTTTGAATTATGGTTCTTATTCGTTTTGTGTTTTATTTTTTCATTCTCTTTTCTTTGGTTTTTTCTTTCTATTTCGTTTATCCCTTTTGTTTTCCTTTTCTTCTTCATTATTTTCTGTATTAAATTATTTTAATTATTTATTTTCTTTTTTCATGTTTTAATTTTTATCGTAGTGTATATATGATGTTCTATAATATATTTTTTGGATCTTCAATTATTGTTTTTTTTATTTTAGTAAAAATTGTATCCATGAGATGTTCAATGTGTATTTGCTTATTTTTATGTAGTATTTATATGATGTTCTATGATGTATTTTTATTATTTACGTAGAACCATAGTATGTTCTAGGTATATTTTGAGTGTTCAAATAGCATCCATATGATGTTCTACGATGATTTTTTTTATAGAGGAAACCTAGTTCTTATACAAATCTCAAAAGATACAATGTTTCTATGATGTATTTTTGACTGTTCACACTACCCAAGAGATGTTTTATGATATATTTTGTGTTGTTCGCGTAGTATCAACATGATTTTTCATGATACATTAGCAACTTCACACAATCACACGTTATTTTATTTACTTTTGATCATTATTTTCTTTTTTTTTGTCTCATT